GTTTTAATAGAGGAAATAAGAAGAGGTGGGGGGAAGGTTTTTTTTTTTTTTTGGATTAATACACTCTATACAAGGGTTTTGCTTATTGTCAGATATCTTTTTATCTTTTATTTTRCCCATGAATGATTCATGCCTCGGCTGCTTTGTGTTTAGTCGCAGCTTTTCAGAGGTTTGAGTCATCAGGGGGCTATAAGTTTACCCCATTAGCTTGGTGATTAGTTTCTTACTGAGTCTTCTTTGGGGCCTTGTTATTTATACGGGCCGGTTTCTGGGAACAGGTTTGATAGAAATGTCAGGGATGTGGCAAACGACCGCATCCCGTTTCTCATTTAAGGCCAGACAGATGATTTGTTGACTCTTCTTTTCGGCTCACAATTAAACTGAAGGCATTGTTTAACAGGACTGGTGCAACCTCACAACAGATAAATACAAAAAAAAAAAGGTGGAAAATATCACCATCGCCACCAAAACTGACAGTATTTACACCATCAAAGGATTATTATTCACTGCAACTTCAACCATAAGCATTTGAAATGATTTCCTGATATCTTTTTTTTATTAAATTTTAGCACGGCTTTTAGGTTGTAAATGAAATTTTGAACATCAAGTTGATTCATCCCTCCCAGCTTTTGTTTTTCTTTTTTTTCTTATCATGTCCAGTGACATCATGCACCTCCAAATGAAAGACAGGTTACTACAAAGGCATGCGAGAAAAAGGACTCTTCACATTACACAGCCTATATATTCAAGTAGATGATTTCTTTGTTTTTTCTTCTTCTTACAGAACACAAACAAAAGTGTTAAAAATGTTATCAAAAAATAAAAAAAGAAATATCAGCAGGGCTCTACACACATCACCAAAACTCATAGTATTATAATAATTATTATTATTCTTTGGTGTTTTCCGCAATGACACTGAAACCAGCAAAAATAAATTACAATATTCAAAACAAATTCCTCTGCAAGAAAAAAAATACTACACAAGATTCACAAACATCAGTACAATTACACATATGTACAAATCCTACAGAGTCTGTCTGGTGGAGACATTTAGTGCCTCAAGGGAATTTAACAAGCACTACACTTGTGTATTTTTTTTCTTCTTTTTGCATAAAATACAGTCTTAAATAGTTTTAAATATTACAAAATTTCACCCAAACATATTCTAAAAATCTGYAAAACCCTTAAGACACTTGATTTTTTTGTTTCCTTGTTTATTGTTGCCCCCCTTTTTTTCCCCCTGTCCCTCTGCACCTCAAAGCAAACAAGTTGTTTTAAAGGCCTCTTTTAGATTTAACTGCTTGTTGCCACTTGTGAGGTTACAAGTGTTCCCCTCCTTTCATGTCACACTGACTAAATCTAGTTTTAACAGCATCGAGATGATTAGAGGTCATGTGGGAAAAAGTCTTTAGCACGTCAGTGGAGTTATAATTTAAACCCTGTGTATGGATTTTAATAAATAAAATAATTAGAAAAAAGGTTCCAGCCAAATCTGGATCATTTGAGTTGTTGGTTTCTTTTTAAGTTAAGGATCAGGGGTCACTTGTGGGAAAAGAAATGCTGCTATAATTAATGATAATCTGCCAATTTTAGTGTCCAAAATGGTTCAGCCCCATGAGGCGTCAGAGCATCGTCCTCGGGTCCGAATTTCTAAAAGAGTCCTCGTCGTCGGAGTCTGACGTTGGCACGTCGCTGGAGGGGGTGTGCASGTGGTTGGGGGGACCCCCGCTCCCCTGGCACACGTACCACTCGTTGAGGTTGGTGACCTGAGGGGAGGAGAGGTTCGCCGAGCGCGTCCTGTGCGCGTCAGAGGCGGGCGACAGCGCGTCTCCCCCGAGGGGGTTCGCGGAGGAGATGTAGGTGAGGCCGGCGGAGCCGGGGGGCGGCGGGGACTTGCAGTGCACCTTCATGTGCTTGCGCAGCGAGCTCGGGTGCGTGTACGACTTGTCGCAGCCGCGCACCTTGCAGTAGTAGGGCTTGTCGCTGGTGTGCACGTGGGAGTGCTTCTTCCGGTCGCTGCTGTTGGCGAATTTGCGGTCGCAGCCGTCGAACTCGCACTTGAAGGGCTTCTCTCCTTGAGTAAATAAGAAACAGGCACATTTATAAGTGTGCATAACTTTTCACTTCAAAAATGAATACAAATTTATAAAACACGCTGCAGTGCAACTTGTCAGAATAACGCGGCAWAAGTTTGTTTATTAGTCTGAGGCGGGGTGAGGGGCTCCTATGATTCACTGCTGCTCCCCCTGGTTTACATGCATGCATGAGCAAAAAAGGAGGGGGCACCCAGGAGACACATAAAATATGTCAAATATTAAAAAAAATAAACAAAATACTTTCCTCCAAAGCTCTGCATTTGTTTTGGAATATAAAGGAACGATACAACTCGGGTTCTCCGATCACCTGATCTGTTCCATCTGTGTTTTTATATGATCAATTAATGAGCGGGGCGATGTTAATGGCACAAAATTAAAATTAACCTCCCGTGAGATGCCTTAACTAAATTATATATCTGTGTAAAAGACCAAAAAGCACTTATTCAYCTTCAGGTTTAACGAGTTTTCCAGCTTAGAGGCGCAGTGTTTAAAGCGGTTTTGGCTGACGGTACTGGATGTTCCTCCGCAGACAGGACGGAGGTTGCAGAATCGAGCACAGCTTGTTCTCTTGATGGTTTACAATTTTACAAGAAAATAAAAAATAAAAATGACTAAGTTGAACGCACGTGTTTTGCATTTTTTTATTTATAAATTGTGTATCATGTTGACCTCCTCCGTATGCAGATGGTGCCTTTGAAAAAAAAAAAAAAAACGTCCTACGCCTGCAGGACAAATTACATTTACGCGTGCAGCAGTATGTACGTAAGCACGTTTTACAAATCATATGCTCTAAGCTTTTCACGCCTACCGCAGAGGTTTGCATGGGAAAGTAAAGAAAAAAAGTTTAGATGTAAGACAGAAAATGAAACACGGTTAGTTTTTGAGCCAAAAGTTTTTTTTTCTATCTGTGCGTAATTACGCACGATCGATCTGTCGATCCGTTCAGCATATGAATAAAAACAAGGTCATATTGACTTTATTCTCCAGTTTTTCCAAACAGGGACATGCAGCACTGACCTGTGTGAGTTCTCTTGTGGATTTTGAGGTTTTCCGAGCGCGCGAACACCTTCCCGCAGCCGGGYAACGGACACGGGAAAGGCTTCTCCCCGGTGTGAACTCTGATGTGGTTGATCAGTTTGTACTTCGCTTTGAACGCCTTGCCCTCGCGCGGACATTCCTCCCAGAAGCAGACGTGCGTGCTCTGCTCGGGTCCCCCGACGTGCTCCACCGTGACGTGGTTGACCAGCTCGTGCATGGTGCTGTACGTCTTCGAGCAGGGCTTCTTCTGGCTCTGCTCCGGCTCGATCCACTTGCAGATGAGCTCCTGCTTGATGGGCTGCCGCATGTACCTCAGAAACGCCCCCGCGGCTCCGTGAGGAGCGGAGGCGATGTTGACGTTGAGGTTCATGGAGTTGTAGCTGTGCAGGGAGGACGCTCCGTAGTGGTGCTCCGGCCTGTGCCCGAAGTGCTCCGGCCTGCCGTAGATGTCCCCCGGCAGACCCAGGCGCATCTGCCCGTTGAGGGCATGGTGGTGGTGGTGCGCGCCTGGGGACGCCTGCTCGTGCAGTCCAGTGAAAAGCGAATGGGCCCCGCTTTCCGCGTGCCCATAAGCACCTGTTGGCGAAATGAACATGCCATGGTGATGAGGGGAGGAGGCGGAACTATGCTGGTCGCCAAGTGCATGCATAGCAGAGGCTGAGAGTTCTCTCCTGAGGATGAAGTCCCTGCTGCTTGAGTAGCCTGAGTGGGGGTGAGCCACGGGGAAACCAACTGTGGTCTGAGCGGGAGTGAAAGACGCCGCGGTCTGGGCTTCGGGGTGGCTCTGAATGTGCTGAGATGGGCTAAGTTTGAGAGCATTTGTCTGTGCCATGTGCTCTGGTCCAAATGGAGTGAGTGCCACTCCGGGGTCGTTGCCCAGCTCCCCAGGGTGGAGGTGGGCATGGTGGGAGAGAGGGTGATGCCCCCCTAGCCCCGGGAAGCCTGTCATATTCTGATGAGGAAGGGGCTGAGTTGCTGCCAAATCCGCTAATCTTATCGCCGGGTTCCTCTTGCTTAAAGGGGGCTCCATAACTTACAGGGACAAGTCCATCCGCACWCAGCACACCACGCGCTCTAAAACATGAGGAAAATATGGATATAAGGGCTTTCTATAAGTTCTTTTTGTCCGGCTTCTAACTCTGCTTTGCTCCTTTCCCCACTCTGTCCTCAAGCGATTGGCAGAACATACAACAGTTGGAGGACACAGTGGGGAATAGAGTTTAGAAATGGCACCGCGGGTATTGGACGGATTTCGGTGACTGGCAGTTAGGAGGACGAAGCGATTGGCTGTCGTTCAGCGCAGGGGCCCAGCAGGGTTCCGCCCCCTCACTCTCTTTATCGCTGCTGACTCCAAAAAGTTGTACTCACTAAAAAGTTACCAGCGGCTCTGTTTACTGGAGCTCGCGCCCGTGCATGACAGAAATATCAGTTTGTGTGACAAAGTGCGTTCTGCCTCACCCTAAGGACTGGCTGTCCCAATACACTGATATCAAGTCATTATAAATAAATAAATAGTAATTCCCTAATGATGAAACGAGCAGAGCGGATGTTTGTAACGTAAAAAGAGAAGAAAAATGACAATAATGATAAAAAAAAATGATCCAGCGCTGTTTCATTTCCTGTCATGAAAGTTTTTTGTAACTATTATTATTTAAACATTTTTCAACATATAAATTAAAAATAAAGGAGATAAGCAAAACAACTATGTAGAAGGGGCATATAT